ATGTCAGTTGTTCGTATGGACTTTGAAAGTGAGAGAATATAGAGTACACCTGTGTTTGCGCTGTGATAGCTCAGATGGTTAACGCTCGCTGTAAATATAACAGAACGCAAGTAACCCGGGTTCGATCCCCGCCGGCACCAATGAAGTTGTTAATTACAATTTTAAGTGCTGATTTACCGCGTGCTCGGCGGTGAAGGAAAACATCAAGAGGAAACCTGCATGTCGAAGGAATAAGAAAAAAAATATTTCGAAAACATGTGAAGTTCGTCAACACGAATTGGGGCAGCGCGGCGGACACTTCCTTGACCTAAAACCCTCTCAGAAATGAGGGAGGCCTGTGCCCAGTAGTGGGACGTATATAGGCTGTAACTTTACTTTACTTTACAGTGTTTGCACACACACCCATGCATTTGATCATGTCCTGTGCAGGTAGCTTGTTCTCTTTTAAATCTAGGAGATAATTTGGTCTGGAGGGCATTAGTATTAATGGTGCTGGGTTTTCTACGGTTAGTGATATGTAAGGGAAGATTCTTTACACTAAAACATGCTTTGCTGGCCAGAAATTACTTTAGAAATAATTTGTTTTCTAATCAGTAACAAAATTTATGACTGTATATATTGAAAACTATAACATTTTTATGGAACCGGTTTGAGCTACATAAATTTTAATATATTATGCTGATTCTTTGATGTTAGCTTAATAGAGCTTGTTGTCAAATTGCGAAGCATCTCGTACAGTTATTGTCATTATTCCTGTCAAGTGTGGCGATCAATGCAAATTCTACCACGTGAGAGGCTTGGGTCTTTTTGGGTATGCCTATGTTTATTTGCGGTATAGTGAAGAAGAAGAGAAAGAACTCATTAGCCTCTTTATTTTCCATTAAGATATAGTAATTTTTGTATAATATGAAGAGACAATACGTGGTAATGACTCTACCACGTATTGCATTTAGTAATGGTTCATATTTAGTAAAGACAAGCTGCAGCTGAATTATATCTGCAGCACTGATGATTCAGTTCAACCGGGGAGGGACCAGGCTCTCACAGAATACCAGCGTAAAGCAGCATATACGCTTTGCTGCTGTATTTCGTATTCGTTTTCCATCTTAGTCCTCAGGGATGGCAACGCATTTTAATTCTTAACGGCACTATAATCCTGTCTTGTGTCGATGGCTAGTCTCCATTGATGTAGGTTACCGTGACTGAAATTGGTCTGAAGTATATTGTTATTAATTTAACTATAATCTGAATAAATAGCTTGAAAAAATTTGACCATGTAATTTGTAAATTCTGTATACTAGTCAAAAATTTCAACATAATGCGGCTGCGTTTAGCATGGTGAGTGAATAGCACCAAAACGGCTTTCTTTTTTATTGGTAAATCCATTTTACACCAATAACAAAAAACAAAGACGGAAAGTGTCACTTTAATGAAACACCTGTTAACGTAAATTTTGAATTTTAATCAAGGGTAAATGAAGAAATCTGCAGCTCCTATTTACCACCAGGTGTGCTAAGTGCACGCGTGTCAGCCTTTCTTGATTAAAAAAAATGATGCCGTGTTTTTAAGTTTGTGACAAGATGTGAAGAATGACGTGATGCAATAATTTTCAAGTTCATTCTTTTTAACCATCATCATCATTATTACAGCCCTCACAAGTCCACTGCTGAACATAGGCCTCCTCCATGTAATGCTACAAGGAACGGTCCTGAGCTGCCTGCATCCATCGACTTCCTACATCTCTTACCGGGACGGTACTCCATCTAGTGGGGGTCGTCCTACACTTTGCCTACCGGTACGAGGCTGCCATGAATCAATCATGAATCTTTTTTCCCATCAGCAGTCGGTTCCTTGAGCTATATGGCCGACCCCTTGCTACTTCAAATTAACTAAGCTGAGCGACCTTGAGCGGCCTCACACGGCCAAGAGTGAAGGACCTCTTCTCAAATCCATAAGTCAATCACTCGCAACACGCACTGGTTGTATAATCTCCTTTTCAGGTTTTGATGTATATCAGACGGACTATTTGTCCCAGGTAAACTTACTCGTTAAAAACTTCGAGCTTATTGCGCTCTCAATAACTGCCGGCATAGGTGTGGCGTGTACGTTACACATGATCTTTGTTTTCTCCATGTTCATCTTAGGATCTAATCGTTGGGAGAGTTTATTGAGCACATTGAGCATAGTACTGAGGTTCTTCAGCTGACAAATGGAAGGTAAGCGATGTAGCTTAAAAACGTCTTCCAACGCAACTATGAAGAGTTTCGGGGACATTACATTACCCTGTCTTACATCTCTCTGCAGTTGGATAGGTCTCGTACTCTGGTTCAGCATTTAGATAGCCATCGTAGCCCTACTTTATAAACACTTAAATACTTCGATATACCGACAGTCAACTTGGCACCGCCGACGGGACTGTGGCACCGCCAAAATTTCGACGAGATCAAAGGCTTTCTCATAGTCCACATTCGCAAAGCAAAGTGGCAGATTGTGCTCTTCAGTCTTCTGTACAATTCGCCGAAAAGTATGTATGTGGTCTATATTACTAAATCGGAAACTGGATCAGTAATATAGGCCAGCCTTTATGGAAACCAGCTTGTTAGCCTGGAAGTCGTTGTGTCTGCGTGCGAGACGATTCGTAATAACTTTCGAAAACAGCACGTAGATCCAACTCGGAAGGGAATTTGTTCTGTTGTTCTTCAAGAGCGCTCTCTTGCTACATATCTGGAAAAAAGTCTCCACGTCTCCGGAGTATACCCACCATAGAGGACGGTATTAAAGATGTACTGCAAATGCCGGTTTTCCTGCCTGGGATCTTGCGATTTTTAAGAATCATTCTAATCTCGCACAGACTGACGTCCGGGACATCATCAAAGTAGTATCGGATAAGACTTGCTCTTGGATCGTTACTCATAGTCGGTCTTGAACTTCGACAGTTTGCTCTTTTTGGCAGACTTTGGCAAAGAAATTGGAGACTTGGTATGCTCGGTTTCTTCTTCTATATAAGCTGTATTGAATTGTCACTAGTCCCGCCGCATGCAATTCGTTATTTAAACGTTTAGTTGCCTGTATGGTACCAAATCTGCTGAAGACTGCAGCTTAATTTCCTCTCTTACAGCCATGAGATGAAGAGTGTGACCTGAGAGTTTTTACAGAACTTTCGACGGTTCTTACAGAACTTAGCTCTGACCCCATGGACAATTTCCTGATAGTTAGTTCCTCCTAGTAGTTTGAGCTAGTCATTCATATCGTCTACTGTGTTGCAGTCTTCTAGGCAATGAAAACGATTTTGTAAAATGAACTGAAAGTTTTCTGGAGTTTGGATTAGAACACGAGGGGGACGGAGCGTTGACTTCATTAGACTAGACCTCTCCAACTTAACGTTTAGGTTCAGTGTGCCTCAAACAATTCGGTGATCTATGCCAATTCATAATTAAATATTTTCTGGTCCTTTTAATAAATAAAAGGAAATAAAAAATGTGTTCGTATTCTCAACTACGAGTACTTCACATCGAGTACCATGTTACCATGTCAAATTCGTTCTAATTTATATATTATAAGAGAAAATGTCGAAATTTGACTAATTCATCATCGCCGAGCTGAAACTGCTGAAGTCAATTATCTGAAATTTTTATTGTAACTTTATTTTAAATTGTAAGCTATAACTTCGAAATGACTGTTTATTATACAGATAGAAAGAGATACTCATAATTTGAAAATTTTAGATTTTTAGCAGAGGCATTTAAATTTTTTTTATATAGAAGCTTACGTAGGTTTACAGCGCGGCGAACACTTCCTTGCCCTAAATCCCTCTCAGACATGAGACGATGCATGTGCCCACGTATATAGGCTGCATATTTAACTTTATCTAAGTAGGTTTGTTTCAGTGTACGTTTATTTTTAAATAGGACCATATCAACTGGTTACAGGTTTCGAATGGAATCTTGTAATATCAGCTTGATAACGCTATAAAATTTGCAAGAATTACACAAATAAAATAAAACTAATTAAAAATTACCTTTTTATTCAACATTATGTTAACATCTAACAGTAACCATGGCTATGCTATCTAAAAATCTAAAATGCTTCAATAATGAAGTTGTTTTAAATTAGAGTAGTGTGAACACAAAGTATAAAAGTCAAATAATAGCAAAACAATGTAATATTTAGTTTTTCTTAAAAAAGTTTGAATTATCTCGAATTATCATTATCTACACTACAAAGTTCACTACATCAAGATGATCTATCCTATTTTTTAAAAAGCACGCAATATTGTCTGTTTTGCAAATATACTTAAATTTATTTCATCAATTATGTACAAACAACTTGGTTGTAAAATATAATCATTTTGACTGTCTTTAATATCTTCTACTTGTAGGTAACTATTTTGTTAATTAAAACCAAAACAATCTAAGAATCCTCATTAATCTTAGTTATGAACAATATAAAATATAGTTTCAAAACTATGTTCTAGGGACACTTATTTATTATATTTACAATTTATGCTGGAGCTACCACGATATGAAGTAAGAATTTAGATATGGCACATTTATCATAAAACCTATCAGTCTTTTTATTATTAAAAAACAAAAAAAAATACATACTCTTGTGAAATAACCATCAATTCATACATCTTAAAGTTGTAGTAGGAATTTAAGTCACACATTTTGAAAACATTAACAAGAAACTTAATTATAATTTATTTATTTAAATTATCGGCAAATATCTATTGCAAAGTAATGAAAAATTTGTACAAGCAGAAATGAATTGCATATTTCATGACTTCATAACTATTCAAAACTCGGTGTCAATTATTTTGATAAGTAGTTAAAATATACATACGTCACATTTATTATTATTACTCATATTAAAACCATCTAATGCTATAATTATAACGACAAAGCTTATATAATCATGACTGCCGTATTTCTAACATATTTAAATTAAAATAGTTTAACAACATTGGCACTTACGAAGTATGCACAAATATTTAATATATGTCAACTTGTCAAAGCTACTGTTGCAGTTATAAGTAAGGTGCCCCGTAGAACTGTTGAACTCGACGATTGTGTCGACTCGTAATCTGAACAACAATTATTTTTTATTAAAATCAAACTATAATAATAATAGGACTTTTTACACCTATTAACGAGTTTCATGTATTTGCCTCAAATATATTATTGGGGCGACGCGTGGCGTAGTGCTCTTATCCACAACTGACGTAATTTTTAGCAAATTTTTATTACTATCTCTTCTAAAAACTAATTTTCAGACTTAGAAACAAAGCGCAGAGCAAGAAAGCAGAGCGGAGCTCTGTAGGCGAAGCGAAATGATTGGTTTCTGATGACGTTATTACTGTTAGCCTTTTGGCTCTTACAGCTTTATAGGATTCAGGGTCTGCGGCGGTGATTTTGTATCATTCCTCATCCTTACTTGCGTAATGATGACTCCTATGACAGTGCATAGTGCAGTTATTTAAAGGCCGTCCAAACACGGGGTGTCGTGCACCGGCTCTGATGGTCAGCTCGTGTCGTTCGATGTTCTGGGCGGTGAGAACCGCTCAGCGACGTGGTTGTATGATATGTACGCGGTGTGGAGGGGGGTGCGCCGCGTCTGTCTTCGGACTCGCTGTATCCTATACGTTGTCCTTTCAGTGTTTGTGGTGCTAGGTGAATGTGTAGTGCCTATGTGTGACGGGCCGGCGACGTTTGTGTCGTCGGAATCTAGCGGAACTGAGGAAACAAAACGTTAAGGGGCCTCCGGAGGCTTTGCTTAACATTTGAAGTCGGAGCAAAGGTTGCTGCGTTTGCCAATAGTGGGTTGGGATGTGTCTCAGCGCTATCAAAGTAGCGCCGGGATATTTCTTAAAAATATTCAGAGATCGTCGGAAGTTGACAATCTCTGTGCAAGTTCAAGTTTTGCTGATACCACCGAGCTCCGGTAGCGATGCGAATGAATCTATTTTGGACAACTTGGAGGTCGTAAAAATGTTAATGAGCCACGTTTGCGATGGCTATGCTTACGTAGGAAATGATTGGGATAGGGAATTTGGCACGATTGCGGACGACGCGAATGTGTTACGAGAAGCTCATTGAATGGTCGAATGTGGCCTTTTAGGTATTTGGCGGTTGGTTGTCACGAAATCTGTAGGCTGCATAGGGTGATCGTGCTTAATGAATTTTTCGGATTTAGGTTCCGACGTTTGAGGGAGGGCTTCCTTTGAAAGAATATTGCTACACTTTTTTCAGGTTTCACTTAGATTATCTTAAGATAAGCGAATCTTAGATAAGCGAAGCCATTCATATAAGCGATTGTCGGCTCTTTGGAGCATCGATGTGAGATATTTCTTGCTATAATGAGCGACGTAAAACGTGTCCAAATTCTGCAATGCACTCTTTTACCACGTTTTAGAGATTGCACAGTCTAAATTTATTACCTATTGTGCGGTAGTGATCGTATTGTCGAAGGGCCGCGTTTCGCATTTTCCATTGCATTAATCGCCTTATTGGCTTCCTCTGGCGAGTCTGTTTTGTCGGGAATCGTGCCTAATTGCTGGGACATCTCAGACTCGAGTTTGACCTCAAATTTACGCCAGTCCACAATGCTTTTGGACTGAAGGACTCCAACTGGACTCCAGCTGCAAAAGAACTGGTCTATGGTCCGAGTTAAGCTCTAGGATTGTATCGATGGATGTTATCGACAAACAGATATCTTTGATTAACGCTATGTCTAGGATATCCGGTCGATTTCTAGTAGCAAATGGGTAATTGGTTGAAGTCTCAAGCACGATAAAATCGAAGTTTAGTCGGTCCATAAGCTCGAACAATGCATTACCATTAAAATGTTTGTAAGCGAGTTCCAGGAGGAATGCTTACTCTTGAGGTCCCCAGCTATTATGACACTGGGGCCTTTTTTAGTAATTCTAGAATGTCTGAGTCTATAATATTATGCTTCATTGGCGTTTGAAATACCAAAACGATGGTAAGTTGCGGATGGCCGGACAGAACTACTTTACATATATAGACTTCTATGTTAGCTAACGGGGGAGCGTCGATCGGTACGCAGTGCAAAGTCCTCTTTCAAGATGAAGGTGTTTCAAAGATCAAGATGACGCCCCTAGGGCTGGTCACCTATCATTTTCAACTAATGCGTAATTTGCGATCTTGGGATCGCAATGGCTAGGCTTCAAAAAAGTCAACATCGTGGTTGCGCAGGAAGAGCGCGATCTCGTCTTTTTGGCCCCTGAGCCCGCTGCATCAAAGACGCGACAATCAGAGAACATGATTTTATTCTATTTACCGGTTATGGGTTTTAACTAAAGTCTTTAGGTACACTGGAAATACCAGATTATGTTAATTAGACCTATGTGCTCAATAGTAGCGGTGAGCTTGTCCTGAGGGGTGGTTGTTTGGTGGTTGAGAGACCAGAATGCACGTGATCCTGAAGGAAGTCCAACTAATTTCTCACCGATTCTGTCGTTTTGCTCTGTTTTTGCCTTGGAAGTGACACTTTTGAAGGACTTTGAGGCGGAATTATTCTTCCTTTTAAGAGCACTGGTATTTGGCATACCGCTTGGTTTATTTTTGAACTTTTATACATGTATACTGATCCTAATCTTTTCCATTTTAAATTATTTTTTTACAAATTATTATTTTCTTTGTCTTTTTATTTGTTTGAAAATCAGCTCATATTCTATATTGTAATATTTTTAAAAATTTTAGAAAATATTTCTGGACGTGTTTATTGTAAAAAAATAATATTTTTTTAGTTTCGGTAGCTATTGATACTCCAACTTTCATATTTAGTTAAAAAAGTAAACATATATTTCATATCCATAATCCCTTAAACTAATTGTGTAATTTAAATTGCATAATAAATTTTAATATTATAATAAATAACTCCGCCCCAATTTAGTCCGCCTTATGGATATAATTTATTATGTTAATAAATACAGTTTTGAGTTACTTTAAATATAAGTAGTTCTTTCAAAAAAACTGACAGTTGCAAACACTATTACATCCATTATTACTCCACTACTTGGGAATGTTAACCATCAGGGCAAGAATTTCAACAAAAGGATGTCATCCCGTTATTTATTGCTTGCTTAATCGAGTTTACTTACGAGACGTGGTGGGATGAGTTTCTGAATTGCTATAACTTTTCACTAAAAAATGTTGTGAGTTGATTAAATACAGTATTTGTAAAATTTTATAATCTTTTCGGATTCAATTACCTTTGAATATCTTTTACCTAATATATATGGTATTATACTCACCTATATCTTTCCATTCTTCCACTTCATAGTCACCAATAACTCTGTTTTCAGCTGAAGATTCTTTCCAATGATTTTTGTTTTTTCCTAAAAAAGTTAAAGTAAACTTACATGATGTATACTACTGATGAACAATAGCCTCTTTTACTTCTGAGAGGTGTTTAAGCAGGAAAGAGTAAAGTCTAGTGAGATGGTTATATCGCCATCTGTGGGAGCCCATAGGATTTTCAAGCACATACTATTGTCGCCTGTTACGACAATCACGTATAGAAATGGGAGTAATGGATTCCATTACACCACCTCCAAATGAAACCCACCCTGACACTTGCTTATAATTTTATTTCGTAGTAATCAACAAATTTAATTCAAATCAATTATGGTTCTAGAACCACGTTTCAGCTATAATATAGTCGCAGCTTGAATGGGTTGACTCGACTGGGGAAGAACCACGCTCTCATAGAATATTTATTGTGGTTGAGCCAGCTGGAGTTATATTGTAGTTGTAGAACAAATCGGTACTACCGAAAAGGGCCATGCTCTCACAGAATAAAGAGAAAAATAGCATCTAAAAATAGAAACGATATTTGTCGATAACGAGGCATCTACCTTGGTCCTCAGGGGTAATAATGCATCTACATAATTTTAATTGGTAAAATCAAAATTAGATGTCTTGCCTTAGCCTTGGGCCCCGACATTCACCAATCGTGAGGTTTACGGTGCATTATCACACTTTTTTATAAAATTAGCTCATAGTCTACTTGGTCACAGGTGGTTACTGTAGTCTAGAGATACCTGCACCCAACTAAGAACAAAGAAGGTTAAGTTGTCACAGAGGAGTACGGAGGTGCAATGTTTTGATAACATACTGATTCTCTTAACCTTCAAACAGGAAGTATCTACTGCTGGTATTCCCAAACAGAAATATCAAAGAATAGGCAGTAAAGTCCACCATTCAATATTGACTTCAAAATGTTGTCTTATTTTGCAGAGAAAAATTCCGAGTATCATTCGGATGGGTTGAGAGATGAGAGCAGCGCTGGGAGTAGTTTGTAGAATTACAAGTTAAAATAAAAATTAATTTTAAGAAAAAATGTCTTGTATCTTTGTTAGGTCGGAAACTTTTCAGACCACCCACGTACAATGTACTGCCTCCGACAGCTTTTCTAGGTGAAATTTTATAAATAATTGCAGCAAATAATTAAACAATGAAAAAATGTTGAACCTTATTACAAAACTGCAATATATTGTGTCTTTTTTAAGTTATTCAAACATCTTATCATAAGAACGTGTGTATGTTTTGTAGGTTATGTGGTAAGCATAACCTACAAATCATAAAACGTAAAATAAAAACAATTCTCCAGGTACTGCAAAAATATGATATTTTGACATGAGTAGCATATATTTAATCTTTTTTATACGGGTCAATGAGCAAACAATTCACCCGATAGTAAGTGGATGTTGTGGCCCCTAGACGTCTACATTTATCTTCGATTAAGAATCAAAACGCAGATGCGTTATCATTTATTATCAATGGAATGCCTCGTTTCCAGTAAAAGGGGTCTTCGGTTCTGTACACTTACCACACGAATAATAGCAGCGTTGAGCTGCTACTTTACGCTGAGATTCTGTGAGAGCTTGGTTCTTCCCCAGTTGAGCAAATCTATTCGTGCTACAACCACAATATAGCTGCAACATGACTCTACCACGTAATGTCTTCAAGATATGATATATTTGAACTTTGTTCAAGCCGGGCCCAAGCTTGTATGGAACCAACTTCATCTTCTGCTGGTTATATTTATAAAAAAACCGAGAAAAACGATAAAATTAAAAATAAATAGTACACAATAAAAAATACAAAAGCAAGTTATATTGAAAGTCAAAAAGCAAACAGAATTGCTTTTCCAACAATAATATTACTAACGACCCAATTCTACGCAAGAATTCCGCTACGGCGGCAAAACCAATAAATACAAAATCCACCATCAACCTTTGCATTCGTAGACTACAGAAGTACGATGAATGTATAAAAGGCACGTGGGGCTTTCTGAACTTCTGACTGTTATTACCATTATAAAAGCGGTTCTCTTGGACTTGACTACATTGAATTAGATTTTTATTATATTCAAAAAAATTATAAGCAAGTTTTTAAAATGTTTTTAAATTTTTTATCCAGATCACTCACAAATATTACAACTTCAGAATTACCTTTCTTTTTTTGTGGAAATGTGGGGACGTAACTCACAGTAGTGCTCAATGTAGACGGAGCAGGAATTTCTAAAATAAGACTGTAGTTAGAGTTGCGATCATAATTGAAACAATGACAATTTTCAATTGAAAGTGTATACCGTCAAGTCGAATGAAGCCGTCTGTTTCTCCAAGAGAATTTTTAGCAACGCATCGGTATGATGTAAAATCTTTGCTTGATACTTTTCTTATGGTCAATTTCATGATTCGACTATAACTATCGTCGCTTAGCAACGTTAGGTATTTATTACCTAAAATAAAATGATCTAATCAAAATATTTGTTAGTAATTGAAGACAATTAAAACTGGTTAAAGCTACAAACCTGATATTATCATATCGCCTCTGTCTGTTGTCCAGTAGTTTATGGACGATGGATAGGATTCAGTATGACATTCTAATGTTACATCTTGGCCTATGTAGGCTGCTTCCAGTTGGTTTGGTATCGATAACATTGGTGGAACTGATATGAATAATAAAATCTCTGAATTACATATTGTGAAAGCTTAGTCTATAAAAAGTTACGTATAATAGACTGATTTATATAAGTTAAAATAATAAAAGAAAATACATAAACCGTTACGAGAAATGTATTAATCTATAATTATAATATAATATATCTCGATCAGTTATAATAGATCAGTTAATGATATATAAATATAATATGTCATTAACTGATCATAAGTTTGTACGGAAGTGTTGTTGGTTAATCGAGTGAAAGTTATGTGAACGTAAAATGTTCACGTAACGTCATTTATAAGAAATGTTAGAAGAAAAAGTAGCTGAGATGCGAAATGTGAATTAAGGAAAGAAAAACCATCTCATTGGCTTTCACGGCGAGAAGCGTCGAAGGCGAGAGAGCGAGGGGTCTTTGGGGTACAGATAGTATCACCATTATCGCGCTCGTGTCGTATTCACGTCAGCATAATGCTCTAATTGGGTGCAATTACCGACGATCCGGTGGAAGGCGCCGTCAGGTAGAGTCGCAGTCACCTCGTAAATATTCGTTAACGACGCTCGCCTCGAGAAAAATAATATTTCTGAACCCAAATTACCTCAGAAGAAATTACATTAAAAAAAACTCACGTACGTACTTGAAACAAATGAATTGAGGTTTAATCAACGAAACAGCATGAAAATGCTATTTTTTTTAAATTTTACTTCCGTCTATCGTCTATTACAGCCCATAAAAGTCTACTGCTGAACATAGGCCTCCCCTATATGACCTCTTAGGGGGGATTTTGACACAGTTGACACGCTTGGCGAGCGAGTTGTCAACAGTTTTTTATTATTATTTTGAGTTGTTATTAGGTAAATGCTGCCCATTTCCTGTTTCATTTTTCCTCTGTCCCTTCTCATAACACCCTCGGGACCATATGGCGTAGTGGACATTCTTACACTGCCATTACACGTTTTCATGGTCACCCTTTCATTATGTTATGTTAATGCAATAAAGTCTCCGTATGTCAACTAGGATGCAGAAAGCCACAGGGTAATTAAAACGTCTGACCCTAAAAACCAATCAGTCTTATTTGACAAGGATTCAATTTCAGAATCCGGGCCCTTGCTAATATGACCACTAATATTTTAAGGTTATATATTGTTACGAGCTTGAGGTTCGTGACAATAAAAACTGCCGATTGAGTTACCAATATTTACACTTTAATTTTCTTTTCACCAATTAAAACTTAAAACACTAATAATTAATCACACTGATTCACTTTATTTCGCTCCGAAGCTTCGCTTGTCTCGCCAAATTCAATACTGCCACGATCGTTGCATGCAGCGGGTTTAAATACACGTTTACACCAAAAAAACCCAGAATATTCCCGTAGATACGGGCGCCGACCGACCAGACGCAGAAAGTTCGAGTGTGGGGGCTTCTAGAAAGCTTAGTTCTTCAATTCGATACTAGGTTGCGCTGTTGGTTGAAAGATTAGTCAGTGCATTTTCTGTAAAGCCCTCCTCGCTCTGGTCCCCGACACTAGATGGCGCTAGTGCTTGGTAAATGACGTCAACTTAGGCGCGCAACACTGCCTCCTTTTAAGAAATGCTCGTCCCGAGCATTATCGGCCCCATAATAACGCGCCAGGCGATCCACAGTCGCCTGTCCCTCTTGCACCTTTCTGTATCTAGTAGATTACATGGTTGATCCTCGTCACAATCCGGTACGGGCCGTCCCATTTATATATATCCCATTTTCCCTTCGCTGCGGACTGGATTGTGCAATCACACTAGTGAACCTTCGTCGAACCCTTTGTTGTTAATTTTGCGGTCATACCGGGTTTTCATCTTTTCAGACTCGGCTTGATGTCTGGATTTTCCTGCTGTGCATGTTGTAAGCTGTCCTTCCACTCGTTGCTGAGGTGGCCTGTCCTGAGCATCCTCACGAATGCCACTTCCTTACTCTCTTGCCTAGTACAATGTTTGCAATCTTCTTGACAATGCACCTGCGTTGCCATGCGATTTCCCGCCGCGGTATTCAACCACAAAGATGTATTCCTGCTGCTGGGCGGTACTGTTAGCCGCACAACCCTCTCGAGATCGATCACCTTCCCTTTTTAGAGGTCGCTTAGGGCAGCTGGGTCGACGATGGCCCCTTTCCCCACAGCCGTAGCACCTTGGGCTGTAATTTTTATTGTGGTCGCGAACTGTAACTACTGCAACCTCCCTAACGTGAGGGGAACGATGATCCTGTCGCCGCCAGGTGATGCCGTTAGCTGCACTGTCCTCTCGAGATTGATCAACTTCCCTTTTTACGGTTGGTTTAGGGCAGCTGGATCGAAGATGGCCCCTTTCCCCACAGCCGTAGCACCTAGGGCTGAATCATTCATTGCGGTCGTGAACTGTAGCTGCCGCGACCTACCTGACGCGACGGGAGCAAAGATCCTGCCGCACGGCTTCCACCTCCAGTGCATGGGTCAAGGCGTCCTTAAGCGACTCGTGGTACCCGAGCCTCACGGCAGCTCTGACTTCAAGGTTGCGGTTGCCGTCAAGGAATGTCTACACCAGGTTCCCTTCAATGAGCGCAGGTACAGACCGGTACGCTTTTCGTACCAGCTTCTCCACCTCAAGGGCCCACTGCTGCAGGTTTTCATTGCTGCGTTGCACGCGATCCTTAAGCTGCGCACGAAATACGTGTTCCAGGTGAGCGTCACCATATCTCGCCTCCAATGCCTCAAGGAGCTACTCGTAAGTCACTCCCTCACCGAGAGCTTCCAGAAGTGTTAAAGCCTGATCGCGCAGGCCTAGTGTGAGAGCAGTCATGGCCTGACTTTTATTCCAAACTTGAATATTAACGTTATGCATTTTTGATATTTTGGAATGATTAGAGAATAATTTTGCACGAATTGCTTTAATTATCACATACGAACATTCTCGCAAGCGCCCTGCTCCGCCTAAACGAAACAGCAGGCGCAGGCATACATTTTTGCCGTGCCGTAGAAAGAGAGGTGGGTACTTTCTCTCCTACGCCGCGCCGGCTGTCTCTCTCTCTCCATCTGTCTTACGAATTTTCGATCAGGGTCACGTGTCCTGACGCGAGTTTAACATTTTTTTACCCATTACAAAAAAGTGTACAACGCCACTAAAGAAGTTTTCACTTCAATAAAGCGTCAGGCTCATCGGCTGTTCACAAAGAGTGGCGATAAAAAAAGGGCACGGAAGATTTTGATCAATAGCTTTTCATTTTGTATCTAGTCTCAATTAATTTATAATATTTTAGTAGCGTATATTTAGTAGCAAATACAAAATGGTATAATAAAAATGCTGAGGGCGATCTTCAGCGGGATATCGCTTCAGTACGACAAAGCACTTACGCTTTCTGGACAGCACACCTGGTAAGGTTTTAGGGTCACTTTCCTTACAGCTCTGATTTGGCAACGTATTAATTCTATTTATTTTTTTAAATTTATTTAAAAATCAAACAGAGTATACAGTAATTATCAAACATTAACGTAACTAATGTGCAAACTAAAAGTATGTAAAATAACAGGTTACCATTAAAATTGATATATTTTCCATTTTGTGACCGATTGGAATTAGTATTTCGAGAATTAGTTCAGACGCAAGAATCTTTTTATGCTGGTGAAGAGTTTTTTGAAATATTTAAAAATTTGAACCATAGAACGGTGTTTTTTGTTTCGCAAAAATTTCTGTATCCGAACGTAATACAATATATTTACTGAACACTGAACTAATCAATCATCAATTTTACATGACATCTTTTGTAATAAAATATTCTGGGTACAATGTATTTAATAGTAAAATGAGTTCAATATACTTACACTGGACCATTAAAACAACTCTTTTACTGATGGAAGGTGGTACACCGTTTGAGGCTATACACAAGTATGCACCCATGTGCAAGCGGGAGACTTTGGATATTGTCAAGTTTTCTCCATCCACAACGTTAACTGAAAATTGTTTTATAAAAATGACAAAATAGTGATATCTACACTAACTATAAACACTAAAAACTTCCCAATATAAAGTGATAATAAATAGGAAATCTGGAATAGGAAGCAAGCACTTCATAGTAAATAATTATCAACTAAAAATTTCAGCTAGTTTGCAAATATTAATGTATTAATCATCATCACCATTATTACAGCTTATCAAAGTCCTAAATTGCTGAATATAGGGCTTCTTATATACTGCATTATGCCCCTTTAGGGGAGTATTTGCAATAGTTGCCACACTTATCAGGCGGGATGGCAGCCACAGTAATTTTTAAATTTTAAAATTCTTGTTAGGAAGACGCTGCTGCTCATCTTATTGTTTGTCTCACTTTATCCTTACAGAACCACGTTGCAGAGAGCTATTTTATGGTTGTAGAACGAATAAGTTGGCGGCTTATCATGGTTAAGACCACACTCTCGCAGAAGACCAGCGTGAAACAGTAAAATAATGCTGCTGTGCTTCGTATGGTGAGCGTAGAGAACCGAAGACCTTTTTACTAGTAAAGAGATATTAAATTAACCTTAATTAAAAAAAAAAAACTTACTATATTGTAAAAAAATTAAAGGATATTTTCCATCGCTTGGTAGGCACGCCGATAATAGTAGTAATTTAGTTGTTATTAGGAAGGCGCTGCTGCCCGTGTTCCAGTTTGTTTTCCTCCTTCGCCTCTTACGAAACCAACGAGTAACAACGATATGAGATATATGAGATACGAGATATACTTACACCGCACCGCCACTAAACAGCTAACAATAAGTCATGTGATGCACAATTTTAGGTTTAAAAAAAACTCGTTACTAATCTAAAAAAATGCATCTTGCTGAAAATATTGCTGAGATCTTGCTTATTTTACGATCTTGCTTGCGAAGTATATTCCAACAATGTTGCTTAAAGTGTATCGTTAACCAATTGAGTTTTTAAAAGTGAAGCTAGATGTACGACGGCCCATTAGCGCAATGGTTAAGCGGCTGATAGGGGCGCTGCGGACCGTGTGTTCGATTTCCACACGGAACATGTATTTATATAGCCTGCAATATTTATTATATAAAATATTTCACCTCTGACTGTTTGCATTGAGGAATTTATGTACCCATGAGAAATGCCCCCACGATATAATACCTCACCTCAATATGTAATTTTTTTAAATATTTACCAGACTCTCCGTTACTATTAAATTCTTGGCCATCTTCGCGACGCCACATGACGTATGGTTCGGGATAGCCCGTAGCACGACAGTGCATAGTTACGTTTATCCCTTCGCGCACCACCATATCCGTTGAGGTCATATTGTCTATGATCATCGGAGGAACTGTTTCAAAAATAATATAATCACTAGATGCAATAGGATATAAATTTAGTTTTAGGTAAGCCTGCGCATAATTTCAATTATACAGAACCATAGAACTATGTTAAGAAAGCTCTCAATTTTATTTACTGTTTTCAATATTAAAATATAATAATTTTATGTTAAAACCATAAATATTTACTTACCAACAACTTGTAAATAACCTTTTCGTGAGCGCATAGGGTCTGTATTTACTTGACACATATACCAACCACGATCCACTTCTTGTACATTCTTTATATGCAGATACCAAGAACGGTGATCGTTAAAAGAAAGGCTGATGCGTGGGTTTTGTGTTATGATGTTATGATGGATACTTAAGATTGTCTGCGTGTCCACTCTAACCCAGGCAACCTATAAAATAATAAGTTTTGTTTTAGAGTCTGTACTAAAATTTAAGTTTCTATTAAGAAACATATTTACTATTAATTTTATTACCTGGATGAACATAAACTATATTTGAAAAAATACAAATTATGTTATATAAGAAAAAAGTTTTGTGTTCATTGTACAGACTAGATCTAGAAAGATAGTATATATATTATCTTCGCACTTAATAAATAATGTTATATGTTTAATTTTAAGGTAAATTATTTAAATTAATACTGAAACTAAAATTGTTACGTTATCAAATGTGTTTTTCAATTAAAGGGATATTCATGATGTTAATTTGTATACTACTTAAAGAATATGAAATTTTCCCTTGAAACTTGGTTTCGAGCGGATTCCTCTCATCCCATATAAATCTCGCCACACTACACGACACTCCAATTTCGCTAACTAGCCTTCCTGCATGATTAATAACTGGTGAATCGTGCATTCTGAGCAAAATGATATTAAGTTGGCTTGTTAAAACTTTACTGCACTGTGCAGATGAAGTTCTGTGTAATTATAGTTACGAAATTAAAGGTTTACTTCGTAGGATTTTACAATATAAGCAGGAATTTCATGAAATTAAAAATATGAAATTTATATTATCACAAATATAATAATATATCTGAATAAATGCGAGATATTATAATAATGTTAGATTATTAATTTAACATCACTTAAATTTTATTATACTGGGCATCAAATTTCGTGTCGTATACGCGACCACCCATCCGTCCATGTATAAGTAACATATAAATTTTTGTTTTGTGTGTTTTTGTTTATCTTTTAAAATAATTAGCAATTTCAGCAAAGAATTACGTGGTTAAATTTTAATTTTCATGGGTCAAGGAGAATGTTTATCAAGGATTAATAATATACACCACTTAATTTTAAACTACCAAAAACTTTCGCTTACTTATCGGTCTAAGTCTAATTAGAAATTTTATTTAAATATTTTGTCAAAGTTATTTTTTGTTTTATCTTTTAACAGCACAAAAATACGGATAAAAATACTATAGAACTACCACCTATCGAGGTATTCAGTGAAGAGGAGGTTACTGAAATTCATTCGCTTCGTTATGCTTGTTCCTGTGTTATTATTTTATTTTGTTATAGTTTAGGTGATTAGTTTATATTTCTGTATATTTTGCATGCCTACTGGTAAAATATGGCTGAACTCACTACCTATATTACTATGTACTGTACCTATATTTTCAAGATAAAATATCTTTTATCTTTTGTTAAAAATTACTCATTATAAAAAATTACTGAAAATTTTGAATTTCTTTGAATAAGTTTTTTTGAATTGGTAATATGTTGTATATCAGTTAATTTTATAATAATGGTTGAAAAAGTTGTTGTTTAGGATTACAATTACTAAAATTAATCGAAAAATTATGCGGTGATCAACTGTTATAGTAAAACTGAAATGTTCGTAAAGCGATGAATTCCTGTACATATATTTATATTTTTTAATAAAATCAATGTAAAGTATCTGTAAAATAATTTTAAATAATAAATTTAAATTATAAAATTGTAGCATAATATTTTGAAGCTGTAAATAGATTTAATACATTCAAAATCCATTAATATCATTAGGACAGTATCTATCAAAAATTAAGGACGGATGTAACATTTAATATAAAATTTGTTCTTATCAACAGTAATGATTGTAATAAAATAAAAACGATATTTTAGAAAATGTCCTTTTTTATTTATATACATACCTTATAACTTTTTAAATCCTCTACAACGCACGCAAGTAGCGCGTCGCGCCCAACTGTCACTGTTACATTTGGAACGGGTTCTACGAAACGTGGATAAATGGAGTCTAAAATAAACAAATAAATGTTTTTTTTAATCACAATTATAAACTCATCAATATATTAACAAATAATAGAAGAAATAAATAATTGAATAAGAAATAAGAAATAAATAGTTGAATCTGAATGACAGGGTGAGAAATTGCGTGATAAGAGATAAATGTGGTATGCAAGATGATGTTGTGACCAGGATTAAGAAAGGAATGCTTCGGTGGTTTGGTCATGTAGAAAGAATGAATGAGTAAAGAGTGACAAAGCAAATTTATATGGCAGATGTGAACGACAGAGTCGGGAAGAGACACCCGAGAAGAAATTTTATCGACCAAATTGGCGATATTTTGAAAGTGGGCCACGTTAGAAGTACCCTTAAACGTGTACCCTTAAACAGGATCGTGCCAAATGGAAGTCCGTTGTCTCTGCCTACCCCTCTGGGTGACAGGCGTGAGTGTTTATTTATATATATATATATATATATATATATATATATATATATATATATATATATATATATATATATATATATATATATAATATATATATATATATATATATATATATATATATATAAATAATTTAAATTATTTTTATACGTGCTAGAGCTATGCTTCAGTTATGTTTGTAGTATAAGGACCACGCTTTCACAGAATACCAGCGTAAAATAGTAGCTTAATGCTGCTGTGTATCGGATGGTGAGAGTAGAGAACCGGATACCCTTTTTTATTGGAAACGAGAGATTCCATTTTAGTCGTAGTAAAAAATTAAAATTATAACGAAAACTCTAGAATTTTTATTACTGTTAAAAACGTGAAGTATAATTCAAATTAATATATTGTCAAGATTTTTCATATATGAATATGCTTAAAAATATTACTCTTTAGATTACTGGAATAATGCATTGCGTGAATTTAGACAAGCATTCTTCCCAAGAGAATTCAGTTCAAGCTCCGGCTTTCATATAATACAAATCGGACCACTCATGTCCTACAGATCCTCGACGGTCGTGATTCATTCAAAATACAAATCTGCTTTGGTACCTCTTCAATATAATGAGATTGCCTTTTGCGCTGAGTTGAAAAGTTTGAAAATAATTTCATGAAATTCAATTTATTAAGCATTTATTCTCGCAAGTTTTATACATAAAACAATCGAACGTAATTTGTTTGTTATTCATTATATATAGTAATAAAAAATGGAATAAATCACAACAATAGTTTAACAAAGATATCATATGTTAAATATAATAAACCAGCTGTACCCGCGATTTCATTTTCGTAAATTGAAAAATGTATGTAAATCTAACATCAGTTTGAGATATAATGAAACAAAGGCTGAGTTTGTGAAGTTACTGTGTTGTAATTTTACATAAAAATGATTTAGATTTATTTTAACATCACTACATATGATGTCAAATGTTATCAAGAATTGCCTCTTGTATAGTGGAAAAAATAGTAGCCAGACGAAGTTAAAAGTGCAGCAGGATTTAAATAATTAAATAAAGTGGTCCCATGACAATGGTATCATCGTAAACATGAATAAATCAAATTTATGGTAATGTCATCACACTATAAAAGTTCTAGAAAAACAGTAGATATAGCTTTTATGGGTCACACTTACGATTGCCTGCCACTGCGAAAAGCTACAATGTGTAACGAATTATAAATATTTAGGGTTGGTTATAGATAATCGTTCCTTATGGAACTTGCATGTTGAATTAATGCGTAACATGCTTAGGGCATCATATAAAATATGTTGTGAACCGAGGAATCATGTATATGCTGTATTATACTCTGGCAGACGCAACCATCGGATATTGCTTAGGTGCATATGGACTTACATTCCCAACTTATCTTAACAAAATAAAGTCTATACAGATAAGATTCTTAAAGACATTAGTTGATCCTAAAACGAAAAATACTCTATATAAAAATTATGAAATGTTGTTTAAAATTTACAACATTATTCCCATAGACATGAAAGTAAAATCCTTCATCACATTAGAACAGTAACATTTAAGAAACCTAGGATATATACAGGATGTTAGTGTAAACACCGTTATCCTTGAAACCAATGGTTTGGTTTCACTTATAGAATGTAAATTCAATAAACCCTATGTGCCCGAGTGACGTAATCACTGTAAGGATCACCGCTCGCGCTAGCTACCTACACTAAATTTCAATAAAAACATAGTAGGTACACGTAACCTCTGATGTAACTTTTCCTTCATACTATCATCCTGGCTTAGGACAGGCAAAATTGAGGAATTAAGGAAAAATTGAGATTTTACTAAAAAAATGTTGTTATTTTTCATTGAATTTACGTTCTATAAGTGAAACCAAACCACTGGTTTCAAGGATAACGGTGTTTACACTAACATCCTGTATAATGCCAAAGTGCCAAATTACACAAAGGAGGAAATATCTTATACGTAGGGTTGAAAATTAATTTAGACGGCGTAGAAGGCAATGGATAACTCCAACCTTGTGTAATGAGGTGGCGGATATATACGACGAAAGCGTAACTAAGTGGCAGGTCAAATCCATCTTGAGGATTATCTGTCGTTGTGTCCATAGTGGTGAAGGTTTCTTTAATTATATATGTTTTAATTTTAAGTATTTCTTAGTACCAAATATTGTTATTAAGAAGTGTGAAAAGATAAACTGTTGCGTTGCCGACAAACTGACATATAGTTTGGCAAAATTTAAATTGTAAATTATGTACACTCTTTCTAAGAATAAAGGACCTTGCTCCGCGCCCATACATTCATTGTTTGCCCTGGAACCAAGAGCATCGGAAAATTGTGTGTTGTATTGTAGATCATTACGGAATTCCTAAATGATCTTATTTTCAGTGAACTAGCTGCAGAAAAGATATATTTCAAACAAAGTATCAGATTTTGAGGTTGTAATAGAACTACTAATATTATGTCTTTTATCGTTTTGTAGCATTTTTAAGAAACAGAAACATTTAACAATTTTTAGTACTGTCTTCCAACAACATAAAATCACCAGCAGAGTCGCAATTTACAAAAAATATACTTTCTATTCCATATGCGTAATAAAGAAAATATAATCACTACGTTTAAGAGGCGGGACTTCCTTAGTAAAAGTAAGTGTATGAAAGGGCGCCAAACTACTCTACCAACATCAGGACATGACATTTATTTTTTGAATAAAAGTGCTGACAACATAGGCGAATTATGCTAGTGCTGTATTCGTCTATACGCGAATAATTTCAACGATTTACCGATAATTATTTATTGTATTTTTTTTTATAGAATAAGCGTGACAAACGAGCACACAGCCCACCTGATATTAAGTGAATGCTTTGGCCCATAGTATCTACATTTAACCTCGATAAAGAAACAAATGGCAGATTCGTTTTCGCCGTTGAGGACTAAGACGGAATGCCTCGATTCCAGTAAAACGGGTCTCCGGTTCTCTACACTCACCATACGAAACACAGCAGCATTAAGCTGCTATTTTACGCTGGTATTCTGTGAGAGCGTGTTTCTTTCCCGGTTGAGCCGACCCATTGATGCTAAAACCATAATATAGCTACAGCATGAATTTAAGACATTTATAAAATAAAAGACGAATCCGTAGCGCAGTGGTTAAGCGTTTGACTGCAGCACTGCATGACTGAGGATTTGTTCTCGCACTGAACAAGAGTTTCTATGCTGTAAAATAAATATCGTATGGATGCTTGTTTTAGCATTCGTTTTTTTTTTGTAAAAAGGGTTTTCTTTGACATTAATTGGATTAATTTACTTTTCAATGTTACAAATACTATGTACTAATCGATTAGCTTCTTCACAGAGGTACATACTACTCGCAGAGATCGTTTAATAATAGTCGGTTTCAAAATTAGTGCTCATTATAGCTAATGTTTGTAGGTGAATCCTTAAAAAACATTAAATAATTTTTCATGGATTCACCTACAAACATTGAGTTTCAGCGATACACAGTTCCGCAAATCACAGCCATTTAAGTCGTTTTTGAAAGCAATCAGAGTCCGTTAAAATAGCCAAGTTGTAATATTCAATAGATAGTCTTGAAAGTCACCAAAACATACCGATATATTTACGAAGAGAGTGAAGCTAATGTAATAGACAGGTTGAGAGCACTCGTCAAAATTAGGGGATGCCAGATACGATATAATTTATTCCTTTCCTACGATTTACTATGGCCATAGTTTACAAACAGTATTTCTTCAACTTTGTCATACGATAATATTAATACCGTAGTAAGTAAGACAATAACCTACTTTACTTGTAATAAACTATACTTCTCTACTTATTCTGTATTCGATACATTACTAATTATAACATCTGTATCTAGTATGCAATATTGCTTTTATTAAAGAAAACATTTTTAATCAATGCAGTAACGATAAGATTTTTTTTTAATATTAGTTATAAATCCGTATCGTAAGCCGTAAGTGATTGTTTAGTTAGAAGTAAACCACACACTTTATAACCATCATTAGAAAACCCTGAATAATGATCATGATGAAATAATTATTACAGGAACGGGAGGCAGGTGCTCTTCAATGATTGATTTATTGAACGTTTGCTGGTTATATTTAAATCATCTTATTGCTACCAGTGTGTATCAGGTAATAATAAAAATTTAAAACAGATCTTATAACTAATTGCACGACGTGCTGAGATTGGTCGCCGACTATGACGAGCTCTGATTCGTAGATAAAAGTGTGGTGTGTAAAACATTTTTATAAGTTACACAGTTGTTAAAAATATAAAATCTTACAAAATTAGAATTGTAAGATTGAAAGAAACGTAATTCAACTTTTACTTGGAAAAAGCTACGATCAATGTATTTCACGTGTGGTTCACAATGCTTCGCAACAATCTATTTGGAATAAACAACCTAAGACACGGACAAATATCCGCAAATGATTGATGAGAGGAAAAGCGAATAGAACAAATCCATCCCGTGCCCATCAATCTTGGTTGTACGGGGTTGTATACTTTGTACTGCATGCGACACCT